TACTATCTTACCACCATCTCAGATGTTTCAGCCACATTAAAAATAATCCAGGATGAATCCAGGTTAAATCTCCATTGTTCACATGCATCCCGAATACATCTGATTAAATGGGGGGGGGGGCTGCCAAAAAACCCATTTATTTCAGGATAATTAATAATATCAGGTTCCCCCCGTGTTTTTTAAAAAGATCTGCATTGTCGGTAGTGTGAATAACTGATACAGATACATCTGAATAAACCCAGGGTAAAACGCTGCATACCCAAAAAGGGGTTCTGGATGGATTCGCATTGTCGACTCCATGTTTATTTGAATGCTTGCACGTATGAGCAACCAAATCTGCAGAGATGCGGTTCCAGAATGTGAATAACAAATCTGGAAATGCATGAGTGAGATGATTTGCATTGTCACGCTAAATATATATATATATATATATATATATATATATGAATGATCTTCTGGTTAATCCATTTGGAATCACTCCTCCTTAGTTGCTTGTATCTTAGCTTACAACCATAACCAAGGTATGGCATCCAAAACCCACCAAACTGTGATAACTTTATTGGCCCAACCAAAATGCACAATATACATGTGCATATATACTATGCATTTTGGTTGTTCCCATACAGGTATCACTGCTTGATGGATTCAGGGTGTGCCAGCATGGCTACCCCTCAATATGAAATTTCTTACGTTTCCCCAGGGGCAAGAGGACCGAAAAACCATCAAAACCCTTTCAAGATAAAGTCCTGAAGAAAGCATCCCTGCAAACTTCAAAAACTACATAAGAGAAATACAAACACACCACTCAGATGCTCCCTGTATCTACTCTTGACAACACTGTTACAGGGCTTAAAAATGTCCCCTGCTTGGGGCCAGATTATCCATGGTTCAGTGGATGCAATTGCCCCAGACATTTCACAGGTCCCAGTGATGAAGGGGGGGGGAGATATAACTTGATTCTTCTCCCCAATTTACTTCCTGAGACTCCTGAAGATTTTCTTATCCGCAACATTTTTTGCTATACTTGACCAGGATGACCAGACATCCTCTTTTTCCAGGATGTGTCCTACATTTCAACCTTCTGTGCAGGAGGAATTTCAAAATGTCCTCCATTTTGAGCATGACTAAAAAGTAACTGTGTAAAAAATAATGGGATCAGTTGTATTGAAGTTGCAGGGCTGAAAAAAAGTTCACATGTAAAGATTCTGGTTTTTTGTCTATTGTACTATTTAATATCTAGGCAACATCTCCTAGAATAGCTCACGTATGCCCAAAGGGAGTATGGTCTACATATCCTAAAAATTTACTAAATCCTGTCTTGATCTTGGAAGCTAAGCAAAGTCAGCTCTGGTTAGTATCTGGATGGGAGACCATCAATGAGTACCAAGTGCTCTTGGCTATATTTCAGAGGAAGGAACTGACAAAAGCACTTCTGAGGACTGCTTGCTGAAGAAGACCCTATGAAATTGATGGGGCTGCAACAAAGTAACAGGAAACTTGAAGGCACACGCACACAAATGTGTTCAAAGGGACTTCATTTTGGAAACTGCCCCAAGGCACGAACCAACTAAATCTGGCCTTGACCCACACAACATCACTGGTTGATTTCGTCTCCCATCACAACACAAGCTTTCCCCTTCTACACAAGACAGTCACCTTATTCTTTAGGAGAAGTAATAAATGGACATAATTTTTATCCCAGAAAGAGCAACATTCAAACACTAGTGCAGGAACACTTCATTTGCCCTAGACACTCTGCTGGTGGCCTGAAAGTTCCCATTCTTCTGTTTAGGAATTTCAAAGGAAGATTGGAAATGGCTTAATTAAAAATAATAGCAAAGGTTGGCATTCAATTGAACAGTTATTAAACTAGACTTATATGTGTTTGTAATTACTTGATATTCATGTTTATTTTCTTGGTGCCAGAGAGCCAGCGTGGCATGGTGGGTTGAGTGTTAGACTGCGACTCTGGAGTCTAGGCTTCGATCTCCCACTCAACCATGAGACTCCCGGGTGACCTTGGGCAAGTCACATACTCTCAGCCTCAGCGGAAAGCAATGGCAAAACCTCCTCTGAATAAATCTTGCCAAGAAAACCCAATGGACGTTATCATACGGGGCAAATCTGCTGGTTAATCCACACAAATCCCAAACAGAAACTGGATTTGTGCCTCGCGTTTTCACACGACGTCGCACAGAAACTGGACAGAAAGTGGACAGAAACTTGTGTTAACCGAGATCTTTTGAAATTTGGTTGTTTGGAGGAAATGCAAATGCGAAATTAAGGTAATTTCGCATTTACCGTAATGTGAAAAGCAAATGCGCATTTGGGAGCATTTCCCTGCTTTTCCCATGGTTCCAGCGAGCTGCGCATGTGCAAGAAGCTCATTTCTAGTACATTTACGGGCTTTTCTCACTTGTGTGTGAACGTTAAATGCGCTGACTTTAATTTTGCAATTAAGGTAATTATGTGTGAAAGCCATTTGCGGAATCAAGGTTTATTTTTCCGTTTATTTTCGGAATGCCTCATTTCCACTTTATTATCGCTTTCTGGCCCACGTGTGATAACGTCCTATGATAGGTTTACCTTAGAGTTGCCATATGTTGGATTGACTTGAAGGCACACAACAACAGAAACAACAATCTTGGTGCTATTGCCACAATCACAAATGCTCTCCCCAAAACCTGCTTTAACAGCTAGCAGCCAGCTCAAGCAACAGATGTCTGTTCTGCTACTGATTGGGGCACAGAAGGATAATATTTCTGGACCTCTCCCACCAGTGAGCAAAACTACAAGGAGCAAAAGCAGAAGCCCAGTTCTGGCTCCTGCTTGTAACACATATTGCTGGCAAAAGGAGGCTGAAAATGTTAGCCTGCCGTGCCCCAAGTGCCAACTTTACAGATCTCCATCACTTGATGTGACTGCTGGCTGTTAAGGTAGGTTTGGGGTTTATGGTTGCTTTCATAACTACATCTGTGTTGTAGGATCTCATCCAAAGTTTGCTTGTATAGTTGACCCTCCTTATCCACAGATTCTGTATCCACCATTCATGGCTTGAAAACATTCCCCAAAAACAACAACCCAAAAAGTAAACTTTGATTTTGCCACTTTATGTAAGGGACACCATCTTACTACTTGTTGTTGTTGTTGTGTGCCTCCAAGTCATTTTTGACTTATGGTGAACCTCTCATAGAGTTTTCTAGGCAAGTTTATTCAGAGGGAATTTGTCATTGCCATCCTCTGGGGCTGAGAGAGTGTAACTTTCCCAAGGTCACTCAGTGGGTTTTTATGCTTGAGCGGGAATTGAACCCTAATCTCCAGAGTCGTACTCCAGGGCTCAAACCACTAACCACACTGGCTCTTTTGTATGTAATGGGACTTGAACATCCATGGATTTTGGTATCATGCTCAACTTGTGGTCTACTAGAACTCCTAGATCCCTTTCACAAATAGTCTCATTAAGCCAGGTGTCCACCATTTTATATCTATGCATTTCATTTTATTTATTTATTTTACCCTAAGTGCAG